TCTCTGCGCCTGTGCGACAACTTGCGCAGCACTAGCCGTTAGCCGTTTGTAACTGTCGATTAGATGATCAATGTGCTTCAAGTGTTGCACCGTAAGACAAATGAGCGATTGCACCACTAGATTAAAGCGATCATAGTTCTTGTTATCCCGGTACAAACACATGCACTGACGCTGTGGCCACGATTGGATATAATTGAAAGTCGTCTCAATTTCGCTCTTGAGCAGCAGCTGAAACTTAAGCTCCGAACTGGCCACGCGAACCTCATCTGAAAAGTAAAGTATACGTTCGTGAAGGGGGAGGGGAAAAGTGGGCGCAAGTTTAGACAGTTATCACTGTATAAATGCCGACACACATTATATGCATATATTTTCGCTACTTACACAGCTCCAATAAATTTTGGAAATCGGCGCAAACCTCGCACATTGCTCTTGTGTGGCTCCACCGAAAGCCGTGGCTGCTGCTGTTTCTACTTCTTAAGATCCGTTTGCTTTGCCGTTGCCGTCGCCTCCTTCGCCTCCACCAGCGTTCGCCGTTGTCGCAAAGTGCAATTTGTTGGTGGGCTTTTAGTCGATCTCTTTAGTCCTTTGTAGCGTCCATGCAATTCCATTTATATTGCGCACTCAATGCCACTCACTCTCATGCACACAACACGCACTTGTCTAACATTGCATCCAAAAGTACTCTTAAATTCTAGTAAATTTTTATGAATTGATATATTTTCTAGATATATTTTCTGTCGATAAGAAACATCGCTACTAGACGAGCGATAGAAAACCATAGTGTGTGGTGGCCGACCGATGGTTTTGCAAATACAACCCTGTATGTGTGTGTGGCATGCGATGTATACAATATACAAAAACAACTTTTACAAAATCGTAGCAGCTTTGATAATTTAATCTGGTGACGACATTGTCTCTACAGAAAAACAAAAAATTAATTTAATACACATTCAGAGAAAAATATGAATAATGTTAACCAACAGCTGTTCTCTTGTGACTCTGTAGCGCATACAGTGAACGGCTGTTAAATTCAATTTAGGAATCATCCCGGCGATCTTTAAAGCGAAATCCTTTTTTTCTACAAAAACTTCCACCGCTATTAAGAAATTCACTTTAAATACAAACAAATCAAAGTACATTTTTTGACAAACTGACAAAAGAAATGTCTGGTTTACTGGAACAAATAAGTGCGCGCTGTTAATAACATTACACCGAGTGTTGGGTGCCCACACTTTGTTTGTCACTTTGTTCCCTCGAGGAATTTCGATAAATCGCCGTCGCTTAGCAATTTATTCCCGAAGCGGCATTTATTTGTTTACATACTTTGTGAATAAAACTCCAACAAGAACTTGTAACTTATAATGGACGAGTGCATAATGGAGACCAGCTCACCTACTGAGGCGAACCCAGAGCTCAACTTTAACATGGAGGATGAGAAAATGCAGTTGCAAGAGCATCGTAGCTCAGTTAGTGGAGTTGCTGGTGGGGAAGGCGGGGACAGGCAGACTACAGCCGGCGTCTGTTATTGGTAGGCACATGTACAAGAAATTTTGTTTGATAAGTACACTCAAATTTGTTTATTTTCTGCATGTCTAGTGGCAAGGAACGCAACCTTAACGCGATTGAATTACTGTGTGCGACATGCTCCCGATGGATTCATGAGTCCTGCATTACTTACCAGTTGGGCAAGGGGAAGCTGTTGCCGTTTATCACAAATTATATATTTGTGTGCAAAAATTGTTCTGCCACGGGCCTGGAAAGCTTTCGCAAAAGCCAAGCTAGTAAGTATGGCAAAGAAAAAGCAATCGCATTGACAATTTTTACTCTCTATAACTTCTTAATAGCAATATCTCAGATGTGCCAGTGTGCCATTGCCAACATGCAGCAGGCGGCGCTTCGGGAAGGCAAGAATCAAATACAGTTTAGCAAAGACAAGGAGATAATACCCTATATTGAACAATTCTGGGAAGCCATGACAACGATGCCGCGTCGTCTGACGCAGTCTTGGTACTCAACCGTGCAGCGTTCCCTTGTGAAAGATGTTAATACATTGTTTGTCTACGAAGAGCATGTTGAACAGGGTGCCATGTATGGACTTTTTCATCAGGATTTGCGTTTAATTAAACCAAACTACGAGATTATGAGCAAAACTGGCGCCCTGCGTCTTACCGAGGATGGTTATATGCAAGGTGAGATGCTATTATCAAAACAAAACAAAGCCTCTTTTCGTCTTTGACGATCTTTCTATTCTTCCTGTTGGGCGGTTGTTCAATAAATTCATTTTTTTTTTTGAGTCACATAAAGCGAAACCTAAAGAGAGTCTATGATTCGGTGTTTTCCGAATATGCTTAGCACTCATTTTTGTTTTGCCTACTATTCGTTACAGCTGAGCGTGCACAGTGGGGCTAAAGCTGCAAAAGCTGACGCGAAATAAGGCTAACACAATGGCAATTGTCTTTATCGCGTTCTGCTTTGCATGCCCTTCCAAACAAAATAAACGAAGCGTGCGCCTGCTATCTTTTTCACATTAATACTCAGGCACGTTCGCAAAGAGAGCCGACAAATCCGAAATTAAAATCGGCAGTGGGCAGATAATTGCAAAGCTATTCAAATTATTTATCAGTTTTCCAGTTGCACTGCAGCTCTATTTTATTTTTGTTGTTGCTACTTTACTAATAGGAATTGAAGCAACTACGGTTCGTAGCTGTAGCACCGTGGAACGCTCGCTCACATCGTATGGTTATGGTTATTTTTTCGCTCGCTCACTCACTTTTTCGCTCTCGCCGCTTTTTGCAATTCAGACATTTGAAGCAAAAGCTGATCGTAATTACGTTTTGCGGTAGTTTCTTATTTTTGACTTCGTGTTCTCGTCACACATCCATTAATAAGTAAACAATCAAACAAACAACAAATAAATAAACACAACTGACGCACACAAAGATTGTTAGCGCGGGGTGGGTGGGGCTCGTTAGCGGATACGAGCTGAGCCCAATTTCATTAGAATAATAAATATTTGTGTTACATATTGTTGCGTGTGCTGTCATTCGCTGGACAACTGATTTAAAACGCGTCGTAATTAAGGACACCACATACATATTGTCCTTGCGATGACGTCAACGCTGAGCGTAGCGTCGCTTGCAAGCAGTGAAGAAGATTGTAAGTGCGGGACAGCCGCAGTAACTATTTAGTCATTCACATCCCGCAGATTAAATAAGCTTTGGCATTCCATGCCGCAAGTCACGTACAGCTACTTATATCATTTTGCACATTGCAGCCACGCTTGCTAAGAATAACAGGCAGAAACGAAAGTTTCCTGGCACTGATGCGGGCCCAACGGGCAAGAAGGGACGTCCTAGCTCTGATGTGACAGCCAATGTGAAACTTCCTCCGCACGGCTACCCGCTGGAGCATCCATTTAATAAGGATGGATATCGTTATATACTTGCTGAGCCGGATCCGCACGCGCCATTCCGTCAGGAATTCGATGAGAGCTCCGACTGGGCGGGGAAGCCCATACCTGGCTGGCTATATCGCACACTAGTACCACATGCAGTGCTACTGGCTCTGCACGATCGAGCACCACAATTAAAAATCAGCGAGGATCGACTGGCGGTGACTGGGGAGCGGGGATATTCTCAAGTGCGCGCTACACACTGTAAGTAGCTAAGCAATGAATTTAAATGGTGGTTTTTCTTCAAAAATTCTGCTTTGTCGTAGCTGTAAACCGTGGTTGTTGGTACTATGAGATAACCATTGAAGAGATGCCGGAGGGTGCAGCAACTCGAGTTGGCTGGGGTCGAGAATATGGTAATCTACAGGCGCCGTTGGGATATGACAAATTTGGCTATTCCTGGCGTTCGCGCAAGGGCACGAAGTTTACTGAGAGCCACGGCAAGCACTATAGTGAAGCGTATGGTGAAGGAGATACGCTTGGATTGCTCATTGACCTTCCCGAGTTGCCAACAATGGACTACCTGCCAAACACATTCAAGGACCGCGTGAGTTAAATATTGGAATTTACCGCAAAATTCCCCATTTACTTTATTCCATATTTTCCATCAGCCGCTTGTTAAATTCAAATCACATTTGTATTACGAAGATAAGGACAAAATAACGGAAACACTTAAGAATCTACACATCCTGCAAGGCAGTCGGATCGAGTTCTTCAAGAATGGCCAGTCGCAAGGTATTGCGTTCGAGGACATTTATGGGGGCAGCTATTTTCCGGCCATTTCGATACACAAGAGCGCGACAGTCAGTGTGAATTTTGGGCCAGCCTTTAAATATCCCGAGGTGTTGAGCGAGCGCAAGGCAAAAGGCGTAAGTATGTCGACCTCTTATTATAAACACTGGATTATATCTCTATACCTTCTCTAAACTAGATGAATGATCGTGTGGAAGAACTGATCACAGAGCAATGTTTAGCAGATACCCTATACCTTACTGAGAACGATGGGCGCCTGCGCCTAGACAACATGAGTCTGTAATCTTGAGTTTTATTTGTTACTATAACTTCGACACGTAAGCAAAAGGCGTCTTACTAAACCACGTGTATTGGAGATTGAAACGTGTGGCATATGTTCTCTAAGTACACAATAGTTTGTATACGCTTTGTAGCCGACTAGGAACAGTCTTTAGGAGTTATTATATAACAAACAATATTATGGATATGTCTACAGTGATTATTAAGATTATATGGTTGTTAAGAAATAATAAGATGGAATTTGATAAACATACCATTAAAAGTATTTTGAAAACAAATAGTTGAAAAAAATAATAAAAATAAGCATATAGCAAATGTGCATGGTAGACGGAATAGGGCGAATTTGAGCTTAAAAATATATTCTCGAATAGCATCAACAATCGCGCATACACAAAAAGAATATCGCCTCCGCTGGCTCCACCCAACAATGAGAGATCTTATAAATATATGCATAATTAAATACGAATATATGTTACGGGGTTCGGAGCTTCATAAAGAATATTTCCTATTCGGGCACTTTCAAAAAAAGCACTTGTTCATCGCTTTCAAAATTTATTGCTAGTTGTATACAACGAGATTTTGGCTACTTAAACGCTTTAAATTTTGAGGCACTGTACGGTATGTAGAAGGCACTACTGGTGGCAAACTGCGACCGTGGATGATGAATTGCTGCTGAGATAGAACGGCCCGTTGAAGGGGTAGTTGAATTTGTTGTGACTTGGTCTAGCGGCAGGCCATTCTGATGCGAATGCTGGACATTGTAATCTCTCCCCTTCCCGTGAGGACTTGCGCCAAGAGTGACTATATTGTTGATGTGCGCGCCACTCCCACTGGAAATGCTTTGACTAGATGTGGTGGCAGTCGTGCTGAAGTCTCTGTGACGGTTCAGTGAAGGTAACACAATTGCATGCTTGTTGTTTAGGAATCTGCTGGCAGCCATGGGCATGTTCCAGGCCGATCTAACGCCTGCCTGCTGCCGTCTCTCCGCGCTGCTGGCATACGTCAATGCCGCTGATTTGGGTTGCTGCTGCACCTGCGTTAGCTGCACAAAGCTACGGTTGTTGAGGAGTCCGCGAAAGCGTCGATTGGAGTCCAGTACGTTGAGAATAGGTGGCATTCGCAGACGAGAGTGTGGCACTGTAGCCGACTGCGGCGTGATTGGTGCTTGCGGTTGCTGGGTGTGCTCACGCCTACGCAGCTTGAGCGCAACCGACGTAATGTGTAGATCTCTGTCTAGTATAGCCACAAGGTTTTTGGCAGGACGCATATAATTTCGATCTGATGGTATTAGCTGCTCGTGGTCGCGTTGACGCGCGACTGTCGGGGTGAGAAAGCCATCGTCGTCCTCATCCTCATCCCCTTCGTCATAATCATCTAGAGAGTTTAGACTAAGATCTGATATTGAGTCGATGTCCCCAGATTCGTCTGGCACTTCGTTCCGACCTGTTGTGTTACGACTGCTGTCAAAACTTTGCGGTTTGAGTGGCTTCGCTTTGCGGGCTAATAAACTGGGGAATTTGCGTTGCCAGTCAGCTATTTCGTGCCGCAGTTCTGGCTCCAGCTCCGATAGCGCTTCTTCGCCGCTTATCATGCGGTCAACGCGCTCCCAATCCAGTTTGTTCTTTTTGATGGCATCATCTGCCCAGGGTATGGAGCCAATTGAGCTACGGTCGATGCTGCTGGACGAGTATGGCACATCTTGCAAAAACTCAGAGTCGTCGTCCTTGTCGGCGTCCGGCTCTGGCTCATTGTTCGTATCGTCATTGTCATTGTTGTTGTTGCCGTCGCGAGGGTACACAGGCCCATCATCTTGACAAACCTTGTCTTCTCCGGAGGTATTGTAACGTTTCTCTGCTCCGAAATAGTAACGTCTAGCAGACATTAGACGATAAACGAGATCCGCAAACTGGTTGTGCTAGTTCTACTGATTTGAATGTGCCCTTAAAATCGATGCCGCAAAATGTTGTAGCACAAGGCGGCGGCGGCGGCGGCTGCAGTGACTGACAATTGTTGTGTTGTGGCTCATTCCAGTTTTGCCTGTTATTTATTATCCTCCTTTTATTTCCGTTTCCACCCTACAGCAAGCGCATGCGCAGTTACAGAGTTCATCCGGCTGCCGGCGGCGTGGACCGCCCAGATGACAGACTAAGTATAGCCTGATGTTTTATTATATCTTTTGCAACCCCATCCAATTTTAATTAACCCCAATTAGTTTGAACCCAGCCATTAGATTTGCAAGCCAAGCTGAGCTGCACTGAACAAGTTCCAGTTCAGGGCGTCGTTCGTTTCACACGTTTCGCAACACTATCGCAGTCGAAGAGAGGCAGTGGAAACGACTCATTAAAAATAGACGATTTATGCCGGCCGAGCGTGTGTGAACTCTGTGAAAAATTTGTCGTCGTTAAACTCAATTGATGGAAAATTATGTGGCACGAGGCTCGAAAACAGGAACGCCGGATACGCGGCCTAATCGTGGACTATCGCAAGCGTGCTGAGCGCAGACAATACTTTTATGATAAGATTCAAGCGGATCCCACACAGTTTCTACAATTGCACGGCAGACGGAGCAAAATTTATTTGGACCCAGCTGTAGCGGCCGCCGGTGATGGCGACGCAATCATGCAAGTGATATTGAATACAGATATAAATATACCTGAATGCCAATCTTTCTGCGAAAACTAATTTGGTTTTTGTTCCCTTGCAGTGTTCCTTGGCAGGGACACCAGGACAACCTTATCGATCGCTTCGATGTGCGCGCACATTTGGACTACATTGCGCCCGTGGCAAAAAACAGTAATGAGGCGGAAGGAGAATCGGATCTAACGGTCGAAGAGCGGCAGTTGAACTACGAGCGCTATCGTATATTGGCGCAAAATGATTTTCTTAATGTTAGCGAGGATAAGTTCCTGCATCAGCTGTATCTGGAGGAACAGTTCGGAGCCAACGCTCAGCTAGAGGCGGAGCGCAATTTAGGAAAGAAGAAGCAAAAGAATAGCGGCGGTGGAGCTACCATTGGTTATTCCTACGATGATGGAGAAGCGCCCTCTGTGGCAATCGGTCCGCAGCCCTTCGGAACTGCGCCAGCAACAAGCAGCGCAGCTGCCGCGGCCGGTGATAAGGCCGAAAACTCAGATGAATCGGATTCAGATATGGATATGGATGTGTCCATAGACATTGGCAAACTGGACACGGCTCAGGCACACGAACTTAATGCCTGTGGTCGCAATTATGGCATGAAAAGTAACGACTTCTTCTCGCATCTCACAAAGGATGCGGACGAAGCGGATGCGCTACGGATTGCGCGCGAAGAAGAACAGGAAAAGATGCTACTAAGCGGACGCAAATCGCGTCGGGAACGTCGTGCACAAAAAGAGCGGCGTATTGCAAATCGACCGTTCAGTCCGCCTAGCTATGCGGCCAAAGAGGACCAGGGAAAAAACAAGGACAAGGACGAGGACTCTGAATCTCGCTCGCCCTCACCAGCTGAGGGTGGCGGCGAAAAGATTACCTATATTACCTCATTTGGTGGTGAGGATGAGATGCAGCCGCACTCAAAAATCACTATCAATTTGACAAAGCCTGGTCAGACTCTTGGCGAGTCCTGTATTAACGCCAGCAGCGGTGCAGCGATTGCTGCCTCAGTTTCCTATGCACAAAAAGTTAAGGACAATTTGGACCAACTAAAGCTCATGAACGAGACGTCGAATCGCAGCGGACGACATCGCTCACGCAGCACATCCCGCAGTCCAAGTCGTCGGCGCAGTCGACGTCGTAGTTATCATCGCCGTAGCCGCACACGCAGCCGGAGGCGACGAAGGCATTACTCGAGATCGCGTTCCCCATCTCGCTCTCGATCACGTTCGCGTTCAAGTTCTTGGCAGCGCTACACTTCTCGTAGTCCCAGCTATAAGCGGTCGCGCAAACGCTATCCCTACTCCTCCCGCAGCTCAAGCGTTAGCTCCTATACAATGTCAAGAAGGCGTCGCTCTCGATCCCACTCCCGTTCTAGTCGGCGCAGTCGCACGCATTCAAATGTTAAAAAGTTAACAACACCGCCAGCAACACAGAAAACCATTTGCCTTAGCACAACAACAACCACAACGGCTTCGAGCACATTACTGATGACAGCGGCGAACTTGCCAATTAAGCAAGTGCAGCAGCAACAGCAATTGCTGCCGAAGCCAACAGATCAAACACTTTCAGCAGTGCCGATGATCAGTTATCCGCTGTCTTCGCGTGTCCTCAGCATGACCACAACGGCACCAGCTTTGGGCATTTCGACGCCTGTGTTGCCCCAAGTGACGGAGCCGCCGCCGCCCCCACTAAAGCGCTACTATGGTCGAAAGCGAGGAAACGACACATCCTCATCGTCAGCGGAGAGTAGTGATCCAAGCGATGTCGAGGAAGACGAGGGCAAACAGCCAGGCAAATCTCTGCGCGGCAGAGATCGCGATGACTCCGAAGAATTGGATGTGGATACTGCGTAAGTGACGGCAGCCGTATGGTAAAGTTGAGCAACCAAAGAAGCCTCAGATTCGGTTTCAATTATCAATTAACGTTCTCTTTAGTTGGAAACTATTTTGATAATTACAATCTTTTGTCTTACAGCTCGGAGCGCTCGCAGCCATTGATGTCGTCATCCAGCACGGGTAATCTAACAGGCAAATATAGTTCTGCTACCGAAACCAAAGTCAGTAAGCAAAACCAAAGTGTCTCATTGCCTCAAATAACTGGAGTACACCACAAATTTTCACGCCTCTACCTTAAAAATCCAAACCAATATGAATCGATGACAATCACAAACCAATATGCATATGACACGATCATAAATTGCAATGGACCATCCCAGACGTGGACGCTCTATACCGTTTTAGCGTTGTAGCAACTCTTTGGACACCAAATGTGCGAAATTCAGATCCGCTTTTTTATTTTGTCCGTGGTCCTTTCAAAGGGTATCCAGCTGTGCAAACAGATGTCAGCAACATTAACCCAAAAGAAAATAGTATTAGGTTGTTTAAATGTTATGGGTTAATGGGCTAAGAGTATTTATATTTTGGAGCATCGAACTCGTATTTATCATGGAATGGCTATTCGCCAAACTGATCACAGTCAACAAAACTATCAAAGTTGTCATTATAGTTAATTAACTTTTTATGGCTTGTGCCTTGTGTGCACATATGTATTCTTGATCAATTGACAGTGGTGTCTATATGATCATAATGGTCTGACTTGTCTTGTCTTGTCAAACACTTCGTCTAGGAACGTTCCATTCCTCTGCCTGTATTTTTATTACCGAAAGAAAGAAACACTTTTCGGTTTTTTTTTTTTTGAATATGACCAATTTAGATATATGCAGTTTTATAATACTCAACTTATGACCACAATCCTAAGTCGCACTTCCATAACATTTATTTCATTTAATCGGCTGTGAACAGAGCTTTTGTAAATAATATAACGCTTGTCTGTTATATTTATGCAAGATTATTTAATCTTAGGCACATCAAGGATAATTTATGTCTCTTGTTTATTTTGTCCCGCATATCAGGTGTAGATTTTTTTCTATGTAAAGAATATATGAATGTATTGATTTCTTTCAACTTATTAAGGGAAGAGTTTCGTGACTTAGTTGGCTTTCGTTAGATATGTACAGGTTTAACAGCATGTAAATTTCGTTTCAATTTGATTTACTTTTGTCCCTCATGTTGCCGAGTCTTGCGCAACGACACTTTCGACTGAAACCAGAACTGACTCCAACTTATCTGCACATAATGGCGTCAGGAATGCTAAATAATTGTTGATGAATATTACAGGGATCTGGACAGGCGAGTGGCAGTGGACGGCCCAATCTTCGAGAGCGGCTTAAGCGCAAGATGCAAAACCTGCTAAACAGGCAATGTAAGCCGCCGAGTGTAGTGTGAAGTTCGAAGACGAAAGCTTTGCTAATTTAAAAACTAGGACTGAGCAGTCATTTATATTTCAGATAAGGCCGATAAGCGTGCAGAGATTGAAAAAACGGAGAGAGAGCGTCAGTTGCAACAGGAACGCGAGGATGAGATGCGCGAGCTCGCGCTCAAGCTGCGTCGTAGGTGAGTAATCAGTTGTGGGTGGCTTTTTGAAAGCCCTCTCACATCTCTTTATTCACAGGCGGCGTGAGTTGCGACACAAATATGGAACGCCGTCCAGCGGCAAACTCTCCGACAGCGATGTGGAATCGGTAGATTCGGAAGCTGCAACCCGCTTGGTCAAATCATCTGCCCGTCGCAGTAGATCCCGTAGTCATAGTCGAAGCAGAAGGCACCGATCGCGTTCCCACAGTCGACGTAGCAGCAGTCGCATGCAACGCAAACGAAGATCACGAAGTCCAAGCCGTAACAGGAGGCAACGATCCCGTTCTCGAAGCAGAAGGAGCAGCAGCCGCACAGATCGAAAGCGGAGGTCTCACAGTCGACGACGAAGCGGCAGTCGGGAGCGGAGATGTTCCCGAAGTCGGCGTAGTCAGTCCCAATCGCGGCGACGTCGTCAACGGGAGCGAAGCTTGGAGAGAAATCGTGAGCGAGAGCGGTACAGACAACAGCAGTATGAGCGCGCGCACAGTGGTCGAGAGGAGGCACAGGCTCATAGCAGCAACTCGGGTGGAGGAAATCGGGGACGAGTGGTCATTTCCGCGCCACCCAAGCTTAAGAAGCTGGTTGACTATTAACACAAGCAACGTATACCAAGCAGTAGGAAACAGCGATATATTCACATTGAATGGTTATGCCCGTTCTTCGTTTATTTATGGGCATGGGCATATTTTTTTATGGTAATATGCATCGTTAAATGTGTTTGTTTATGCTTTTGCTTGATAACACAATTCAATTAAACATATTCATAGGAGAAATATTAGTTTGAAATATCAAAATATGTCTTTCTATGAAAATCATCGTTAAAGAATATTACATTTGTTACGGCACATTAACTGGCAATTGGAGTATGTGTATTGCTGAATAAGACCACATTTTTATTGACATTTTTACAGATCCAATATTTCTAAAAGAGCTTCCCGTTGAATATGTTTAAATAAATTTAATTAAACCAATGTGCCAGTTAATTTGTCCATATTCACTAACATGGACAGAAGAATTAAAGGGCGAAATTCATATTGGTTACTTAAATCCCAAAAAAAATGTGTATTTTTGTGTAAAATGTCAAGAGCTGATATTAACATAAAGTGTAGTATTTGTAAAAGTTTTAAATTTATCGGTTTCATCACATTTCAAATTAACGTGCAACTATCGCGAACCGAACCAAACGGAACTAGTTCATTTCATCGGCTCTCATAAAGGCCTGACAACAAATTGTTTATGTAATTGTGCAACAGCTGTGCGAGAATATTGGAAACATGTTTGGCTTAACGTTTCGACAATCTGTTCGAATTTCAGCACAGAAAGTAAATCAACTACTAAGCACAAGCGGCACATTGTTCAATAGGAATCCCGAGACAAACATGTCGCAGGAGGCACAGTATCCACCTATAGAAACGGCAATGAGGAAAGCGCTAACAGCGGAGCTTAATCCGGTTTTCCTGGATGTTACCAACGAATCGCCAATGCACAACACTCCCAAGCAAGCTGAATCGCATTTTAGAGTGCTTGTCGTATCCGACAAGTTCAATGATTTGACGCTCATTAAGGTAAGCACACGGCTAACACGACTGCCTTTATTTAGTACCCTAAAATGTATCCACGCAGCGCCATCGACTGGTAAATGACACTATTAAGACTGCGTTGAAGGCGGCCGGATTCGAATTCATGCACGCACTCTCTATTGAGGCGAAAACACCAAAGCAATGGGCGCCCGAGCACGAGCCGGAAAAAAGTCCACCATGTCTAGGTGGTTTTGGTAAATAAATGGCGGCTCGATCTAGGAGGGAAACCAACGGAGTTTAATGTACAAACGGAAAATCACTCAAACCATAGTTACAAAAGAAAATATATAAATGAATAAATAATGATTAATTGAAATATATAATTTCAGTTCATGCCAATAGCCTCAGTGACCCGGCGGCGGCAGGAGCACCGGCAACTTGTTTACCTGTCTGCGGGCAGACAATATGACGTCGTTGATGCCAACGCCATCATAAGCTGCGCCACATAGCGACAATGGCAACTTGTAGTTTTTAATGTAGCTCCTTATGTTCTCCACGCGTCGCTTATGTCCGACGGTGTACTGGGGAATGCACTTGTGAAGCGTATGTACGCGGCTAAAGTTAGGCTCTTCTTTGATGTGAAGAATCTTGCGCACGTGCTGCTGTGCAATGTCGCGCAATTCCTTTTGGCTGGGCTGGTGGCCAAACCACTTGTCGAACCAGCGGCCGCCCATCATGACGGTTAATATCGTGTTGCCCGCCATGTCGAAGCAGCAGCTATCGAAGATGACTCCCAGCACGGGCAGCTTTTCGACGGGCGGCACCAGTAACCCAAAGCCATTTTGCTTCAAGAGCTGATCACTGTTGTATTGCAAGTTGACCACGACCACATCCACATAGGGTATGTCCAGCAGTTGGGCGGCCAGCGACGGATGCTGCGTTCTCACCAGCGGTGCCAACTGGTGCGCAGGCAGTGAGCTAACCACATGAGCTACCGGCAAGTCAGCATCGCGTACACTAATGCGAGCGCCGTCGTTGTTAAAGCTTAAATTGTGGCACTTGCTACTTAGCTGGACGTTCACATCGTGTTCGCCCAGGTATTTGCGCAAAGCTCGCGGCAGCTGTTCCAGGCCATCTGCGAGGCTGTACATGGCCCACTTCTCTTGGACAGCTTGCTTGTACAGCTTGGGCTCGTCTTGGTCAAACAAGCCTACTTTGCTCTCGTCTACATTGTTCTTGAACCGCGAGTAGAGCATGCCCTTTATTACGCCGCCATATTTTTGCTCTTTCTCGAAGAGACTCTCCATGAGAAAACGCACACTGATTTCGCGCGCGTCGCCAGCACAAATGCCACAGATCATTGGGCTAATGGCGTAATCAGCAATTTCCTTGCCGAATCGCCTTTGGGCAAAGCTGTAGATGGACTCGTCTTCGTTTTTAGCCACAGTGCCACCAGTGGTCAAGTCATGGAGAAGAGCTCTATACAGAGGTTTTGTAAAGGGAGGAACAGTGCCAATAAGGCCCCTGGGACTGTTCGGCAGCATACAGATCTGGCCCTTGGCATAAAGCATGCGGTTCCGTGCCGCCACATGTGAACTGCGTATTGGTTTAATCGGCAGATTCAGTTGATCCACCAGTTCCAAGGTGTTGGCACCCGCTATACCTTTTGGCCGTATCGTGCGCGGACCGCTCTCGAACAAAAAACCGCGGTCCCTGTGCCATTCAGAACGTATCCAGCCACCGACGCGCGGTGATGCCTCGTAAATGGTCAAAGGTTTGCCGAACCTTCGCAATAGATAGTAGCCGGCGGATAAGCCACTGATGCCGCCGCCGAGAACGGCTGTTTTCATGGTGTAACTGGTGTTTGGTTATATAAATTCTTGTGCTCTATGTTGCTTAATATAACAACAAATTTGGTCACATTCCTGACTACCAAATCGAAGCAACCTGATTGCGTCTCAAATGTTTTGATTATCGGTATTTGATACGAAATATCGATGAACGATAACACATTAAACTCAGGGCTCCAATTACTTCTAGTTCGCGGCACATTTAGGTTAGAAACGTTGTATTTCAATATAGTCTAAAACACACTCACAAAAACATAGAATACGCTTCAGTTAACTATTTTTTAAAGTGCTTACTTTAAAATTTAACAAATGGGAAACATTTGAAATGCGTGCTTAGTAATGAATAAAGGGCATAAGAGATAATCGGCTTATTAAACCTGAAATTACATGTTTATTTAAACACATTATTTTAACATGTTCGCTTAAAAGATCCTTATTTATATACATAAAATGTGAATGTAACAATGTGAATGCGACATTTTTCATTCATATGCAAAAAACACAGCCAAGAAATATGCTACAGTTACACTCAAGCGCACAGCCAATTTAAAGAGAAATGTAATGCATTTTTTTTATACGCCACGTGAGCCAATCGCTAAGCAACCAAAATACAGTCACAGGAACACATACACACACACACACACACACACTTGCATCGTCGGTGCATTTTGGCGCCAGTTTTAATGAATCGCAAGCTCCACCTAACATGCCAGGCCCCTAGCATTCCGAAAAAGCTTAAAGACGAGCTTGGGCCGCAGAGTCTCGAGCCGTCCGAGTTCGCAGCGCGCAGAATTGTATCCGCTGCTGACGAGAAAGGTTGGTGCTTGGCCTGTGCGCGTCGTGTGCTTGTGTGAAAAGTAATGAAAAAGTTCCTCATTAAATATATGTATATATATATATATATATATATATATATATATATATATATATAACAAACATACACACACACCCAGTTTTCCATAAACGAATACTGAGAAAGTAAAGAAATTTCAAATTGCGTATGCCAATTAAAGAAAAGAATCCTATATAATACATTAAAGCTGTATTCAAGTTTACAAGAAATTTCAAATAAGAATAAGTGATGAAGTGATGAAAATTTGGATAGTCGGTGAAAACTGTTTGAAAGTTAAAAAAAAAATCATTTAAACTTCTTGTGTGACATATTTTTGGACAGGAAATTCAATTAATATGGATCGGCTCTGAGACATGTATATGTGTATCCGCACGTGAAAGTAAATTCGATAAAATAATGGACAATTCAACTGATTATATCGATTCTAGTGAATATAAAATAAATGTCAAAAGATATGCGGATAGCCATAATAATATTTATATTTTTATGGCAACATTTTCTGTTTATTGTGGCATTGCTGCGGGTTTTTATTTAAAAGGAGCTAGCCTACATATACGAATTGCTAAAAGATTCATTCGTTTACACATACATATATATACACACACACACATGCGCAAACTCATACACAGACACACGCACAGTGCGCCAGTTTCATGTTGAATCGAACAAAACGAGCACACAAAAGTTTTTAGCGACGACGAGCAGGAACGACAAAGCCAAACGAAAGGACACGATGATAAAGTCGATGGGTAGCCGGAGATATGGTACAGTAGTATCGTTTCATGTTGTTGTTGCTATTGCTGTTGCCGAATGAGCTTCTGGCCCCGTTCTAGCCACGCTTCGTTGTCATCGCCAATGTTATTTTTGTTTTTTCCTACTCGTCTTCGTTGGTGTAGGTGTCCGTTATGCGCGTTTATTGGTTTATGTGTGTCAGTCAGTCAGTGCCCGAGCATGTACCTTTGTATACATACATATATATATATACATATATATGAGAGCGGTAGATACCTACAAGGAAATTTAACCAAATTTCAAACGAGTTCGAGCCAGTCATTCATTCTGTTTACATTTCGGCTCAAGGTGGCAACACTGACAGTGCTCATAATTACAGCATATTTGCGTGATAAACATTACAAATACTTAAAAAAAGATGACAGCTTTTGTTTTGTGAAGAACATGCTTTTATAATATTTATATTCTATACGCTGTGGAATTGCGTTGTGCGGCTTGTTTTGTTCGTGCAGGTACATAAGTATGTGCATACATACGTACATGTGTATTCATTAAAGAATGTATGTATGCATGTATGTGTTGCGAAGCACAACTAAAACTAGGGCAGTGTGTTTCCGTTTCAACGACAGGCTGCAGAAACTCTTGGAAGCGTTCATTGCCTCGCACACGCTTCACGCGCACGGTTCACATTCCTTTTCTGTACGTTCGTTGCCCCGCAGGCAAATACTAACTGGCGTCCCTCTGTCGCATTGTCCGCGTATCTCACGGATTGAATTTGTAAACAGCGTTTGGGAATTAAATCAGGCTGCATAATAATAAAACTAGTAACAATAAAGGAAATAGATAAATTCAATTTTAATAGTTGTGATAGACACGGCGTATGCTTAACATAAATTAATTTGTGCCTTCAACCCAATGCAAAAAGCTTCACACTCTTTCGGACTACATCTAAAGTACATGCGCAAAAACTGGGAGAGCGAGAGACAAAGAAAGAAAGAGGGAGAGAGAGAGAGCAATAGGGGAGAAAGAGCTAGTGAGAGCAAGTCCTAAGAACCGACGCTCAGCTGCTGCTTTTGCTTTGAAATTTGCTTCGCGTCTTTATTTATTTATTTACCAGGCCGCGTTTTCATTTTTCCCGCAGTTACTGCCCAGTTACTGTCGTATGTGATGGAAAATAGGCAACTATGCGAATTGCATCAGTGAAATTTGCCAATGTATTGAGTAAGAAAGTGTATTTAACGATATTTACAAATATCGTAAAAAATAATAACAACCTTACTGGCCCTTGAAAATTTGAAAATATGTGAAAAGTGAAACAAAAAATGATTAAATATGTTTTTAACAACAATTCTACTCATAGCAAATACTTACATCAAAATTAATACAAATAAACGCACAATGAAGTTAATAACGGTATTCTAAAGAAACAACAACAAAAACTTACAAACCTATTTTATATGAATCGAATGACATAAAACTGTATATAAAGAATCCGAAAACATAAAAATCCGAATGTGATGGTAAAGAAATTAAAGCAAAGCAAATAACAATATTTGTACGGCTACAATAATATTAATAAACACAAAAACAACACCAAAAACAAAAACAAAACCAAAACCAAAACCAACAACAATAACAATTCTTCTAAAATTAATAATAATAATATCAACAACAAATCGTCTACATATTAATGTGCGATTTGAGCGTGTGAATGTTGGCAGCCCTGGAGCCCTGCCTCGGTGGTATAGCCTGTACTAGGTGAGTAGCATTACTGGCAACGAACCCAAACCCGCCCCTCTATACAAAGATACAAAAACACTCTCCTACATATCTGACGCACACAACTTCAAGAAGCGAATATGAGAAAGGACACAACGATATCGATTGCGGCTGCTAATTTGGCTCTAATTGCAAAAGAGATATCAAAATTCAACCAGATACCAAATACGAACCCGAAACCGAAACCGAATCAGCTAACATGGCCAGCTGGTGTCCAAATTGTCATGAACTGCCACCGTTTTATCCGCCCATCTCGCCAAAGGTAAAACCCCATTTCTTACGTGTATAACGCAAGCTAGCAATTGTGCAAGCTCAATTGTGCTCGAAATGGCCATAGATGTGCAATCAGTGCAACCAAGAATCAATCAACCAATCATTCAATCAGTCAGTCAATCAATCGATCAATTAATTAATCAATCATCTTGCGTCCATCATCATTAGCGCAAACAAGAAGCGGATAATTAGGCACTTGCTCGTCGGATCTATGATCTATGATGACTGTTTCAGTGTAGGAATACGCTTCATTTTAGCCTATTTCCGCCAATATGTATGCATGTATGTATATATTTATGTGTGTGTGTAGTTGTATGCGAGTAAAGCAGCTCGCGTGACCTTAGCAAACGTGGCACAGAAACTGAAACTTAACTAGACCCAACGCCCTGGGGGCAGCGTAAGCCCATCGGCCTTGGTAATGTTGCGACGCCCGCGGTCAGCAATCGGTGGCTACAATCAGCGGGCCAAGTGCTACCCATAAATTGCTCAAAAAGTCGAAGGGTATTTGTCAACTCGTTGCTTGTCGTTTGGCATTTGCCACAACCGTGTCGGCTCTGTCTCTATCTTTGTTCTCTACACTTCTTGGCGTTCCACAAATTGACGGACATGTGTCAAGTTATCTACCACCTCCCTCCTCCAAGTCCAAGTCCACGTCCATGTCCACGCCCACTCCCACGCCTTAAAATCAATAGTTCGCAATGTAAATTATTGCCACTTGGTCGCCGTGTGACTTCATCCATTTGATTGCCGCCTCGGGCCGCCCGCTCCTATCACCGTCTGACAACCAAATCGGCTCTGCCTTGTGGCATAATTTATATCGCTCTGTTATCTAAACGCCCTGCGACTGGGTTATTAGTCGCAGCAGGTCGTCGGTCTGTATACGGCATACGCGTATCTTAAGTCCAGTTAAGGCACTTTGACAAAAAATTTCAAAGTAGCCAAAGTGTCAAACAACATTCTTAAAATCAACAACTAATTATTTTTTTTAAATCAATCAGTCTCCAGTTTGATGGTTAGTTGTTTATTTAGCTGAACCTAATGAATTGAATTGACAAATCAGGTCTGCTGCCAATGACTTTCAAGAAATATACACATATACTTTAAATTCAAATGGAATGGTTCATTTGCAATCTTGGCATTTATAGTTTATTTTTTTTTTTATTTTTCGTCAAAGGCAAACATCTGGCAAAGACAACGATAATTGTTTGTTTATTTATAGTTCACACAGCTTATGGACAGTTCAGTGGCAAATACACTTTTCATCGTCTTATTATCGGAAGCGTCGAGATCTAAATAGATTATAAATGTCAATAATGCAATAATGATTCTAAACTAATATTGACGGGCGTAGAAAAAGGTTCAAGGATGTTTTTTACAGATTGATAGCGACTAAATGACTTCTTATTGATATTAAAAATAACCTAAGCAGCAATAGGACGATCAATTTGTAAATGTACATGCTTAATTCTAAAAGAATCTTCGCATATGTTCCTATCATCTTCATCTAATTACCTATTAGCATTATCTATTTAGACCATTCGAATGCAGTTATATAGCTTGCTTTACTGTACCCGTTTGACAACATAGACATATTATTGAATACACGTCAACGTCGTGCCGTTTTGTAAATCATCATTCCATGTATTTTACAATTTCAAGGCTAGCGTCAGTTTAAAAATATTCATCTGAGTACACTAATTGAAAACATTTTTAATTGGCCAAATGCAATAAAGCGATAAACTTAACCGTACCGAGTGTCGCATATAACAAGAACTAAAAATATAAGAGAGCTCGTGTCGGCGGTGCCCGACTAGAATGTACCCTTTAGTCAGGAAATGAGTTTTTTTTTCCAATTTTGAGAGAACCTTTGTTTACTCAACATATATCCTGAACTTGGATTCCTCCGCTCTTGAAAGTTCAGAGATATTGTCAAATCCACATCTGATAATCGATATATTTGCATTTTGTGGAAACGAAGTGAGCTTTTGTGGATTTGATATAAATTTGAATTTTTTGACCCCCATTTCCACCAAAGAGGAATGGATATTCCAAAATGTGAGAAACACCTCTCAAATGAATATGAGAAAGATCTTTGAAAATGAGTTTGAGGCCGATCGGATGGTAAACAAAAAAGTTGCAATTGAATTAACCGAAACCCCGTATTTACATGCACCTTCATCAGATAAGGTAACAATAGTGAAAATTTCACCATCCTAGCTCTTACGGTTTGGCTGTGCGTTGATCACCAATCAGTCAGTCAGTCGGAACAAACAGTTATACTGTTTACTCAAAAGCCATATCAACAAATAATTTCCATTGAGAAAAAAACGAATTAAACTAGCAGCACACACGCACGCGCAGAAAACAATAAAATCGATATGGCAATGCTGTTGATAGAACGCGTATGAATGTGTGTGTGTGTATACAGAAATTCGTGCAATTTCCGCAAGCTGCCACACACGTGGCCAGTCAAAGCATGTTTTCTTTGATAACATTTTCAACAGCTCGATCACTAGGAGGACCTACAGCTATTTCAAGTCTCAAACTCGAATAGGTTCTGAGATCCTTGCGTTCATAGATACGGTCGAACGGGCGGACAGACGGATCGACTCGGCTACTGATCAAGAATATATATACTTTAGGGGTCGGAGATGCTTCCATCTGCCTGTTACATACATTCTTACAAATACAATATACTGTATATATACTCATTTTCTATGGGCTTAGGGTATACAAATACACATTGCTGCCGCGGCTGCTGTTGATGATGAGCAATTGTGGCTAGTGGAAACGCGTAGGTAAAACGGAGGCAATTTAACTGGGGTAGCTTGTTGCCATGTTTGAGGAAACGGTGGACTGTTGCAGTGGTTGGGTTTGGGGTTGGGGTCGTTGTTGGCCTGTCCCCGCAGGAAATAGCAAACAAGCGCGTAAATTATGAAACGACAGCTTACTGGCAACATGGCGTGACTGGACTGAGTTAACCTGGTGGTTCCTCGTTTGCCACTGGGAGCAGAGAGGGAATGCAAAAATGTGATTGTGTGTGTGTGTGTGTGTGTGTGTGTTTGTGTGCTTAGAACGGCACTGGGCAGAACAACAAGAGAACTCATATTTTATTTATATATATTTGCCCTGTTGTTTTTTTGTTGTAATAACAATTCATTGTTGGCAACTCACGCACACATTGACACACACATATATATGGGTATATAGGTCTATTATACAAACGTACGTTCTAATACCCTTCCCCGGGCATTATCATTTTGAGGCGACGTATAGAATAGACGGATTGGAATACAAGAAATATCGGAAGTCTTATATGAATCCCGTGCAGCTGGCCAAAAGGACCCCAACTTGTTTGCTAGATCACTAACTCATACATAGAAAAAATAAAAATCTTCAAGCGAGCCGGTTTTAACCATGAATTTCAATTTTGTATGTTCTCTGGACGAAGCCATAAGCCAGATGAGATGATCAGAATTATATTATCAATATAATATAATAAAATTAAAAAAGCGGAACTTGCGGCTATATAACAGTTGTATTAGGTCCCCGAATTATCAGGAAGAACCAGCGCCATAAGTTCCAGTTAAAGTTTGTAGGGAAGAGCATACAGGTGTGGGAGGTGCCAATGATAAATTGTGTTTTCATTTTTCGTGTCTGTTAATTCAATTCAATTTTGTCGCCTGCGTTGACAATTTTCGCGGTCAGCCAGCGAGAGAGCGAGCCCGCGCCCGCGTCAGGAGATAGCACTCTGGCCAGCTAAGCAGCTGAGCAGGCGGCGTTCATTTTCAGTTGGTGCGCGTCGGTTGTGCTGTTCGCTCGTTGCCTCCTTTTTGTTTGCTGCTGGCCTTAATCGTGCGTGCTGTGCTGTTGCGGTTGTTTTTTAGATGCAGATGTATCCATAATATACATAAATATATATATATATATATATATATATATATATAAATGTATATATTTACATAGGCAGTGATTCATTGAGTGCGTTGGCCCCAGTTGCTAATTATTAAAAAAAGCGTGCAAAATTCTGTCGGCCATCAAATAATAATAAAAGACCGTGTACTAGTTGAGTGAATGTTAAGCTAATGTGAGTCGATCAGATACTTACATATGTATCTAGCAGTCGGTGTATCTACGTCTGTGCTCGTACTCGTATGTTAAATGTCGCACGGCCAAAGCTGACATCTTAAGCAAATTGTAGCCGCGTTCTTTGCTCATGTGTGGTGTCCATCTCTGTGCGTGTGTCGCATACTACATTGCGAGACAACTTTAAAAATAAAAGAAAGATTTGTTTGTTGCTATTTTTAAAGGCGTGCCAAGTTTTCTGCCGTTTTTCGCCGTTATTGCCGCAGTCGCGTCTGTTGGCTCTTTAGTGGCGTCATTGGCCACTTGGCCATGCCCAAAGTGGCCAGGGCCTATATGCACTTGAAAGCCCAGAGTACCTCGACCAAACCATAATCACAATATCATACAAATTGTACATATTTATATAGTGTATATAGTGCAGTGCGTCGCAATGTAAGCAACTGAAATGGCAAGCGGGTTGATCGGCACAAATATCAGTGTATTGACAAATGTAAGCCAAGAATTTAATAATTGGTTCATGTTGATCGGTTGCTTATTTTTGTATTTATTAGATAAGTTATTTATATTATTATTTTTTTGGTTTAGCATTTACAACTAAGTATTAATGGCCTACATTCTCTGTCGTCGAAAACTGTTATTTTTGTTTACATTTATGCGCTTTGCGATGCAAACTTGAGCCAAAAAATGTGCTCATTCTTAATGTCAAACGTGACGTACTATGTACGTGTGTGTAAAACATTTACATACAAACATATAGTCTTGTGTATATATGTATTTAAGTATATGTACATACATATTTATAAATGGCTGCCGCCTTGTGCTCAGAAATTTTGTCTCGTGTAGATATTATTTGTATTGGTAATAGTTATTAGTTAATTGCTAATTGATTATTAATAGATTGACTACTCTTAAGAATATTCTTAATAATATTCTATACGAATTTTGCAGGGGATGTCGGGGTGTGATCAAAGCACTGTCGAATCATTGGCCGATGATCCAACAGATTCACCATTCGATGCCGATGATTGTCTCAAAGTTCGCAAATATTGGTGTTTTCTGCTATCCAGCATATTCACATTCCTTGCTGGCCTGCTCATTGTGCTGCTATGGCGTGCGTTTGCATTCATCTGCTGCCGCAAGGAGCCGGACCTGGGACCCAACGATCCCAAGCAAAAGGAGCAGAAGGCGTCACGTAACAAACAGGAGTTCGAGGGAACATTTATGACAGAAGCAAAAGACTGGGCTGGAGAGCTTATCTCGGGTCAAACAACAACTGGTCGAATTTTGGTAAGTACTTATATTAATCCCTATCCCACCCACATCAGTATTTGAAGTTGAAATTCCACTTAGATTCTGTTAGACTTTGGAAATTTACAACAAATCGAAACAATTACGTGGCCGATAAATATGGGCAGTAATTCTTTTCAAGTGCATTCGGGTTACTCATTCAGTTTCAGCCCATTTTATTCGATTCGCAAGGGCAAGCTGGTTGCGTGTAAAATGTAACATTTACATTTTATTTAGCCACATTTCGTTGCTGCCACTGTTGGTTGCATGTCAACAGCGGAAGCAGCAAAGTAAATCAACAATTTCCATGTACCACAAATGCTCGCCAACAAATTGATTTAGTTGCCTAAAAAGCGGCTGCTTTGGTGTATTAAAAAAATCCACCAGCTACTTGGAAATAAACATATGCTCTGATAACTAATGATAGCTTATGAAAGAAGCCAGGTGCCATGTGCAAACAGACTTAATTTAATGTTATGCATATGTCACATTATGCAGCCATCCATTAAATGTGAACTTCTGCCTAAGCTCTACGCTACTTGAGGAATTTATTTTCAGACATTTAGAAGTTGCCGACGGTTTCTTTTTTCATTTCGTAATTATTCATTTTGTAAGATTAAAGCACATTTTTATATGTTGTTATCAAAGTAAAAAAGATTATATTGGGTTTTTGGCATTATTCCCGTGAATCCGTAAGATTTTATTTTCTCCCGTCCACTAAAAGGTCGTCAAAACTTAAAACATTCAGTCTTTGAGTATGCAAAAGTCTTTCCCTGTCAGAGCTCTTAAGGTTAAATTTGACATCTAGACAACTGACAACTTATTTTAAAGATCGAGACACAAATAACGAAGACACACCCAGTCCCAATCTATAAACAAAAACATCAATAATTCCTAAAATCGTACTTAGAACGTCAAAGCTAAGTGCTTTCAGTCTTAGAGTTTCAAGTTATTTTCGGCCGTTATTGAACTTTTAAGAGTTTCCGACTCGGGAATGTCTTACTTAGTGATTTTCTGAAGCGCGTACCAATTTGACTTCACAAGGAGTTAAGCTCCTTTCTACACTACGCTGCTTCTTCCCTTCGCTTCACGCTACTAAAAATGCCTTTTTGAATGGAAGCGAGAAGAAGAATCGAAAAAGTAATATCTAATAGGCAGAAGGTCAGTATCAACAGTCGAGTCAATGTCTCTATATCGGTTTGCCTGTTCATTTTTCTATGGTTGATTTTTCTATAAATATTTAGTTTGTTTTATGTTATCAGAAGTTTTTCTTATTTATAAGTATTTTTTAAATATGAAAATGAAGAAACATGTAGTATGTTGACAGCACTAAATGAGCGAGACGCGCCTAAGCCTAAAACCACTTGCAAAGATATTTAGTCGGGAGGTGTTGTTCACTTCTCAAAATATCCACACATTCCTTTTGGAAAAGAGGCATAAAAATTAAGATCTTTAATAAAGAGATCTTTAATTAAGATCTTTATAAAATTTCATTTAAGAAGTGTTTCACACTTTTTTGAAAATCCTCACTTCCTGGAATGAAACGAAGGTCGCTCGGCTTCAAAGTTATTTTCAAACCCCTTCATAAATTTGATGGTAAATGGTTGAATGAAACTGTCTGTTTATCATGCGATCGGCCTGAAACCCATTTGGGAAACAATTTCAAACCAAAAATAATTCGGCCGGAATGGAAGGCGTCTTCTAATCGAGTGTACCATGGAACCTGTTCATATCTATGGCGTGTGACTGATTTAGAAATTGTAAGTTGGGTTTTGAAATTGGAGATGGAAGTAGAATGAAATTGGCTCTAATAGTAACTATCAATTGATTTTGTATAGCATACTTTTGTAAGCACACGAAAAACGCATAGTAGAACATTTTGGAAGTTTTAATTAAAAGTGTTATTTGATTCGTTCAACTTATTTAGGGAATCTACAAACATATTCAGATTGAAGACTGCACAGTTATCTAAAATTCCAATTTCGCGCTCTGTTCACATTTGGTATGATAATACATGCTTATCAAGCATAATAGATACACAGAAAGGTCGTATGCAGCAATTGATTTCCTCTTAAATCTAACACAGGCGAAATACATTATTTCCATTATCATATAACAGTTCAGTGCTGCGGCGTCAACAAAAAGCAAGTGATAAGGAAAGGGTGTCCTCCTAGTTGCCCTGTCCCCTGCAGTATGCTGCCCTTTCAACAATTCGATCTTTATTTAGAAGATTAAAACACAAATACATACGCAGACGATTGACAATACTTAAATATGAAACTAAAATTTGTTTATATAAAAAGCTCAACGCTTTTATTTCTGGTGTTGACCGAGTTAAGGTATCCAAAAAGTAAAGTAATTTAATCATTGATGGCCTTTAAAACCTTATTCCACAATCGATGTTTATCGAGAATGAGGGAAAAGAAGGAGCAGATAGCAAAAAAAGATATAACAACTTATACCTTACACACATATGTGCAAAAAGTATTTATGCTCTTTTCCCATTGGCCTTTCACAAGTTGATTTCTCCGTGGGACATTTATCGATAGCTGTGCTCTTTGTTGTATGCAAAGAGCTATCCTTAAGCCAACAAGAAATTCCAGCTAATAAGGGGAAACGGGCAAAATGAAATAAAATAACGGATGATATGTTGGTGCACCGAAAAAGCCACAACCGAAAAAAAGAAGAAATTACAGTAAATAATGTGGGTGAGTGGGCCAGGAAAAAGTCTAAGAAAATCGATAAAAACTCGCACGTTTCACTGTAACCAGGGCCAAGGAAGGCAGACGCGTGGCGCTGAAGGAGCGCGAATTGGGGTAAATGGATATAGCCAGGCCTACTGCCAACACGCCAATCGGTTGGCAGATAGCGGCGTATATTTGTTGGCATTGCAGCTTTTGGCCGCCTTCTGACGTTTTGCCCAAGCCTTTTGGCATAAACGTTGTATCTTTTCGGCTCTGTGCTATAGTTGTTATTGCTATTCTTTTTATTGTTGTGGTTGGGCTTAACTGTACTGCAAGTATGTATTCCTTTTCTATTTGACTGTTACACAATCGATGTTATTCTGCCATTCACTTTAATCGAAAGTTTTCCCCAATAAACTAGAATGAACTCCCCCTTCGGTGACCAATACTTCATGCCTAGCCCTGCAGCTAATTGGCTTTACATTTTTAAAGCGACGTCAATGCGGAAGTGGAGCGAAAGCCTTCAAGCAGCATTTATGGCAGCTTACTGGGGGCGGTCGACTACATCCGATTGCACTTGGTCACGCCATGGAGCAGCTTCGATACGAGCAGTCAGCACTCTTTAAAACCCGCAGTGTGCCTTAACGCTGGGGCCATTAAACTACAAGCCCCACCATTCTTACTGTGGTTGCTCCATTACTATTGATTGGTTTATTTTTGAGCAGCTGGCAGTCTTAAAATACTTGTAATTGGTAGTAAATAATTAAATGTATACTCCACGTATCCCGCAATCTCTTATACGAAACAAAACTATGTTATCAACCCTGCGTAAAAAGCTAATCAAAACCAACCCATTCAACTACATAAATCTTTGACCTTGAACATCTGTCTATCTGTCCGTCTTTATGATCACATCCATTTCGGTGAGTATAGAAGTGAGAGACTTGGAATTTGGAAATTTGGTCAAAGCAAGGGAATCAAGTTTGTTTCATTTAAAACTTGCTCCGGTTGCATGAATGAGGACCGATGAGAGACCAATGCTTTTTGATGTAATTTTAAGAAGCATTTTTGCTTCGTTCATGCCTTATAAAATCAAGAAGATTTAATGTTGGTATACTGGCACATTCGTAGATAGATTCTGATCCAAGACCTGAATCGGGAGAACATCTGGATGCTCTATTGAGGATCAGATCAAACAGCACTCCAAATGTTACAGCGGCAAACTGCTAAGCCACAAAACAGGCGCCTTTTCACCTCAAACCCCTTTGGCAGGGTATACTAATCAAGAAAATGGTGCTGATCTCAGAGTACAAAAAACGGCTTGAAATAATAATTTAATACTTGAGTCAAGTATTACCAGCATAAATCTTCATTTTTCTTGATTCCGTATTTTAAATAGAGATATCAAATTTGGTTCTAATGATATAATCGAATCAAGAATATTTAATGCGGAGGTATTTGCACATATTTAAATTACAATAAGCCCCAAATATAGTTTTATGATAAGATGCCTTAATAACATTTAGGTGTAAGCGGTCAAAAATGTCTCCTTAAATCCGTTATACACAAAATTAAAATATTCTCTGCAGGGGTTAAAACTGCAGGTGTTTTTTTCATACACATTATTTGGGATAGTTTGACATTTCAAGTTCGCGATTTGGTATAACTGGTTTTTGCGCCACTTCAGATACATTTCGGGTCGTGCTCGTAGCATAGTGACTGACCCAGTTTCTATAAGAAAAAGAATCCCAGCAATAACAATATGAGCAAGCAATTTTATCATCTTCGTGGCCATGTTACTTTGCCGTTTTTTGCTTTCTGTCTTGGGTGCTGCATTGATTACCTTGTCCTGATGACGTCAGTCTTGGATTCACTACTGATATAAGAGTAAAGGAAAGCCTTACGTCAACGCTGGATGAGATTATGGTTCAATTTCATTAGATGTCACTGGCAATTAAGTTAGCTTAATGAAAAGTCAGCCGGCATCCCATGGCGTATATGTAATCTTAAGCTTTTGACATAGTTATGCGCAAGTTTTGGATTAAACTAAGGCCAATTTTGGAATGTTGTGCAAAAAACTACCCACTATGTTATGTGCATTTGCATGACAACAAGTAAAAATCAGCCACAACTTGGGGCATAAGTAGCTTGCGTGCTGCTTTTGCCAAATTCAGTTTTCCTGTTCTGCTATGTTTTGTTTGATTATCAAAGCAATTACGTCTATACGGCTGAGCGGAAATCCTAACAACGGCAATAACAATTAAGCCCATTTAGAATAGCATGAAGTGGCATAAGACGACACAATGTTGGCTAAAAGAGCGCCAGTCCCAAGTTGATTCACCTTTACTGGTATTTTCGTTTTGGCAAAAAGCCCTGACATTTAACTCGCTCCCTGTTCGGACAGCTGCGGCCTTACGAACGCTTTTTCAAGCAGAAGAAGCCCTACCGAAATTACCTTGTAACATTTTCATGATTGCCGCAGATTTATCAACGAAACGCCCTCGACTTAAGGCTGCAGCGATGTCGGAGCTCAGCCCATGATCAATTGGCCCTTGGGTCCAATGTGATGGCGCATTTAAGAATGCATAATCCTATCCAATTTATTTTCTATTCATCGCTGCCAGGAAACGGATAAACCACTCAATGGTTGTAAGAAAGGCATGACAAATAAACATACCAGAAAGTAATGTAATAAGGAATACGATTAGGCTTACTTAAAATGATTAAAAAACAAAGCTTTTTCCAATGAAAAACGTAAATGAGATACAAAACAAGAGGTTTTGTGTAAAAATACAAACTTTCATGCCTCGGCCCAGCTAAACATTTTCCCGTTCGGTTGAAGCCGCAAATTCCTTCAGTAATGTGAATATTCCACAATCTTCATACGGATCTTTGAAGAAGTTTCAGACAAATATCTTTGCTTTAATCGGACACAAATAAAATCAACTAGGAACAGTAGGATGCCACTAACTGTGTAACACAGTCCAATAACAGCTTAACATGGGATGGCCATAACATGTATTAAAACATATCTAAAGTTATCTACTATCACAATTTGTCGCGCTCCTTTTAAAACTATAAATTCAATATTTCCAAGAATAATTACATTTATGCGATGGGACAAACAGACGAGCCCAATACACTCTTAAATTTGTGAATGAGAATAAACAGCCCATTTCAATCCCGGCTGAACCTTCAGATACCCTCAGATAGTATTATACATAACTGAAACCATAATTTTTAAGATGATACATCATTGAAAAATTAATATATAGTTAAAAAATGTTTTTATTTAATTGAGCGCAAAGTTTATAGATAATTTAACCATTTTTCTTTCAGGTCGTACTCGTATTTATACTCAGCATTGCATCTCTCATTATATACTTTGTTGATGCATCAAGCGAAGAAGTCGAAAGATGCCAAAAATGGAGTAATAACATTACTCAACAGATCGATCTCGCATTCAATATATTTTTTATGGTTTACTTTTTTATACGAGTAAGTTTTACACGGCACACTCTATTTATTTTGTCGCAAATCAATTGGCTGAGCATTCAGTATATAATCAGTTAGCATCTCTTTTGACAAATCATTAAACGTGATTGTGTTCTTTCATTAACAATTTTTTACAGTTCATAGCGGCGTCCGATAAGCTTTGGTTTATGTTAGAAATGTACAGTTTTGTAGATTATTTTACAATACCCCCGTCCTTCGTATCAATATATTTAGATCGAACATGGATCGGTAAGCTCAAAAAAGAAATACCCAAAATTAATAATATTACAAAAATTCCCTAAATTTGATGCATACAAATCGGTTTCACGGAAAGAAGATTTTCATCTCTTGTACATACACATACACAGACACAAACGTATACACTTATGTGCATACTCACGAACGCCTTAAAACAATATGTTACGTTTAATTTAACAATTCGAAATAATTCTTAAGGGCGTGCCTAGATCGATTTGTATGCATGCAATGTGCTTTACTCTGTGTGTGGCAACTATAATTTGTGTCAATATATATTATAAACAGGTCTTCGATTTCTTCGAGCGCTACGCCTCATGACTGTTCCAGATATTTTACAATATTTAAACGTACTAAAAACATCGAGCTCAATACGCTTGGCTCAACTAGTATCAATTTTTATATCCGTGTGGTTAACAGCAGCGGGCATTATACATCTGGTATGTAGACACACACTCACAGTTAACATTTACACACACATTTAGCTATGCGTGTCGCGCGTCTTCCAGCCGGCTCTGTGACAGATTTGCAGCGCGTGTCTGAGCCAGTTAAAATATTACGCATACGCCGCGTTGCACGCTGTTACAGAGTATGAGCCCGGCGCTAGTTGCTGGGAGGGCGTGCGTAGCGCTTTTTCCAGTGTCCAATGGCATAGGAAATGTGCAATCTGAATAATCGTTGATGCGTATTTGTTTGCAATTGAAAATTGCAATTGCATTTTCTTAAAATTTAGCTGGAGAACTCTGGCGATCCGCTGGATTTTAATAATGCTCATCGTTTATCCTATTGGACCTGTGTCTATTTCCTAATTGTGACCATGTCAACGGTAGGATATGGTGACGTTTACTGTGAGACTGTCTTGGGAAGAACATTTCTCGTGTTCTTTCTGCTCGTCGGCTTGGTAAGTGTAACAACAATATGCTGAAACAATCAACAATATACCACACAAAAAGCAACAACAATATGTACTACAACATTATCCAAACTTTCTTTTAGTTACATATATAGACAATGTTTCTCTATCTCTCTCTGTCTGCCTCTGTCCTACCCAATTTACATCGAGGACCATTGAGTTTAGGCCAAGCAACAGCGGTGTTGGCAGTGCTAAAATGTGTGAATGATTAAAGTTTTGGTTGTTGCCTAACGTACTTAGTACAGTTGTGCTCAAAACTAGCTTAGCGATAAAGTATTCAAGTAACCAAAACCATCCAGTACCAGTACCAGTACCAGAACCAGTACTATTTGTACTCATGTACCAAGCGTAGCACTTTACTTTACTCAACCTCAACCTGAACTCGTACCAAGCGTTATCCCCTTACTACATACATATAATTACAATCCGACTTATAGCATAAGGATTTATCTACAAAACATTATATTTTATTCAATTAATCTATATAAAACCGTATCCGTATTTAAGAAATATGCTACGTTTTTGTAAATACATGCATAGAACGACTTAATAACGCTGCACCAATTTAATTAAAACAAACAAAAAAAAAAAAACAAAAACGTTTACTTTGAGACTCAGTTTCATTTATGCGTTCATCCCAGTTCCGTTAGCTTTAAATCACTTAAGTAAGCTTAACGCGTTTCAACGTGCGGTTTAATTTAGCCACTCTCGATTCGTTCTTCGCCCGCACTCTCAGAGACATTTACATACTTACTCGTACAGCAGCTGGTAGTTGATTCATTTTTAAAACAGTTGCCTTTTGTTTTCAATACAATCGAACCAAATGCATGCAGTTTAGTATCTCTTTTTGTATACATATATTTGAATTTTCTATTTACCTTTGGTTTGGTAACAACAACTCGTAGACACCGACACTAACACCGACACCTTGACAAGTAACAAAAAGAAATAATAACAGATCAGGTAGCCGGTGAGGGTCTCGACATTGATTGAAATTTATCTCACATTACGTACATGCATATAATCAATTTTTCCTAATTATCACATTTAAGGTATTTGTGTTTTGCATGCTTTAATGCTGGCTGTCGCAACTTTGATTTGAGAATTTAACCAATTTAGGTGCATACATATATTGAGATAACCAAAATATTGATTGATAAGTATATGCCTCCTCTGGTGTGACTGCCTTGACCTCACTTCGAACCCACTAGGCAGACGAAGTGTTTTCTTTCGAGACCTTTTGCTAAGACACAACAATCGTTTAAATATTAACAATAATTGATTTTGCTAAACAAACTTGTTAATTTTTATATATTCGTATGTGTGGAATATTTTAGGCAATGTTTGCCAGCAGTATACCGGAAATAATTGAACTCGTTGGTAGTGGCAATAAATATGGCGGTGAACTGAAAAGAGAACACGGAAAGAGGTAGTCTATAACATTCCATATGCAATAAAAGACATAACAACATCACAATCAATTTGAAAAACATAATTTTAAATAAATAAATATTAAAAACTGTAACACCAATACCAATCAAATAATATCAAGTTGAAGATCTCCAAATGCATAGCCTAACTAAATGTTATTGAAGAATAGAAAACTGTGATATGTTTAAACAATTTGTTATTTATTGAATCAGTTTTCTTTTTTTTTTTCTTAAACCAATTCCCATATATATGTCTTATACATGTATATGTATATATATATATCAATCTATATCTACATATATATATTTTATATATATATTCAAAGTGAATATAAAGCTTGAGTATTCAATAAAATATTCTCTCCAAATATTGAGTCAAAAGTCCAGGCGATTATTGCAAAAACTCAGTGTGGAGAACGAGAAACAATCTTTCGTACAAACACAATTGTAGTTAGTCGCATTAGGAACACAGCAACCCATAAACAGTAATGAATAGTCACGTTAACACTCAATAATCAAATTACATACTTAGTCTGTTACCCTTTGTTATATTTTTGATTTACCAAATGGATTTGTATTTTGGTAACTCGCATACGATGTTGACTGTAATGCAAAGTTCTACTAATGTATTTACCCTCAAAAATGTAGTTGTCAGTCAACTCTGACGAATAAGAGTCATGATTACCTAATTAACTTTTTCAATGAATATACCCAAACAGAAAACATGACATTTATTATCATTGCGTAACGCGCTGATTGATCATACGAGCAAATAGTAAAGTACTTTCTACATTCTAATTTTAATTTGTTTCCTTAAAATATACATTTTCCTTTCAATAAATATCAATCACAACCTCTATTCTACAGATCAGTTAGTCGTCTACATATACAATTTGTATGTAAATGATCAATTTTTCAATTAAAGTAATTAGGGATTTTGTACTTGTATTTTCATTTTTTTTCATTCTTTTTTTTTAATTGATTACGTCTCACACATTTGTTTGAATTAGTTAGCAAGTCGTTCTACAAACACTTTGTAGGCGTTTGTTTTACATTACATTTGGCCCGAATTTGCTGTCCATTTACTTTTTCATTTCCTGTTTACATTTAGTAATGTTTTATTTGCCATGCTTTAAATGTTTTTTGCATTAACACCAGAAGTACAAAACATGCGTTTATCAACTTGAGAGAGTTAAAGGTTTTGTTTTTTTTTTTGTTTAGTTTTGTTTTCGTCAATATCCTGCAGCATTTAAGCAAAACTTAAAGTCGCATTGTTGATAACACAATTTAAAAGCATCGGTCACGCATTACCAAATAAAATATTGTATTTCAAAGTATACGTAATTATCTTTATTTATATTTTGAAGAGAGTATTAGCTATATTATGCAATAATTACATTTAACTTTTGATCCTTAAATAAGCAGTTTTGTATCAGTGTCACCATAACATAAATAGTTCATCGATGTCTTCAACATTTTAAATTATGCCTAATACTTTATTTGTTTTATTTTTCTCGAGACATTTTCCAGGTTATCCAGGCTATACTTGTATATTCTATTAAGTGTACAAACGCTTGTCTACCAATTGTCCGGCTAAACCTCAAACTAAAATGTATGTTTCAAGCTAAATTTATGGGAAATTTATGGCAAATGAAAATAAATTATAGATAAACATTTGTTAAAACAGCATTTAAAACTAAAATTAAAATTATATCAAACATTTTCTCTGGTTTTGGAACTTGTCTTTTGCTTCGGTTAGCCGAAGTTTATTCTATAATCAATATTAAGTACGACATTGAACAACAAGGCATTTGAGCATATTAAACGTACCAATTCTAGGTTTCTTTCAGTTCGCTCAATCTCATTCCATAACATTTAGCACACCATTAGAACTGAAAGTATCGCTATATTTTGTATTTAAAAAAGCCATTAAAATACCCAAAATCTAAATAAAAATATTCGTATACGTCGTGTGTAGTCGGTCGACGACTCTCTCCGCAGACTCCTTGGCAGCCATAGCACGTTTCGTATACAGCTGTAAATCTGTAAATTCATAGACCTTAAAGTAAAAACAAACAACAGTAAATACTTAAAGAGAATATCTTCCAGAAATCCAAACTGTACATATATATATAAAAAATTATTTACAATTAGATGTAATATTGAGCGAATGCTTTCGAATGTCTGCAAGTGAACCTGATAAATGTGTATATATGTAAGTATGAGTGTGTGAGTGAGTTGAGAGTTGGCTTGAATGTATGAATCATCGTTTGAATGAGTGCGGTGTGATTATGTGATTATGAGGTATGTATGCATCCTTTGTTGTCCTGCGTTGTCTCCGTTATCGTCGTCGTTTCCTTACGAATTTGTGAGTCTCGCATTTAGAAAGTTTGTGAATTCTTTTAACACACCATCCAAAGATCAGCAACAAGTAGCCAAATACTAAAACTGCAATTGTAACTGAAACTGAAACTGAATTATTTTGGCACTTCTCTGTATTCTAAAAGTGTATGTGTGTTGTTGAATTTAGGCTGTGTTCGCTAGTTGGATACCAGAAATCACTGAACTGGCTGCCCAGAGAAGCAAATATGGTGGAACATATAGCAAGGATCCTAGAAAAAGGTACACGAATTCGTTGCTGGCTGTACCACAAAAAGAATTATTCAACAAATAAAATAAATAAAAACAAAGTAACTACAACAGCAACACCAAAAAGATAAATAACCAGAATCTATAAAACAACAATCGCTACAATCGAATTAACCTGATTTTTCTTATATTGCATTCTTACTAAACTTCAGAAAATGAAATACTTTTTAAAGATAAATTTTTATTTTCCTTCCGTTTGTCCTTTTATTTATTTGTTATCCTAATTTTATTGTTATTTGACGTCACTTGAATTTGCATAAAAATGCCCACACATTTGCTATCAAAATCTGTTCAGCAACTGCACACAAACCAGTTGAAACAGCATCAGCAAAAAACAGACAGATCTTAAACCATAAAACAGTTGCCAATTATTAAGCAAATAAACTGAATACTGCAAAAATATAAAGAACTACATTCGAATTTCCAAAAAGGCATTGGTTTCTTGGTGGCATGTGTAAAAGGAGAGAAAACTGAACTCTGTTAATTAAGTAAATCAAATGAGCTAAGACATAAATGTGTCATTATTTTCTTTCTCAAAACCTTCTGTAAATTTTGTTGTTATCATATTTACAAACATAAACATGCTGTACATGCAATTTATTATTATTTTTTGTTCAACTTGGCTTCGTTTTTTGTGTGCGATTCATTAGGCTTGGGAGAAAAACGATCAATGTGCGGTCAAATTGGGCCATGTTTAGTGCCAAAGTGGTTACTCAATGTTGAATCATGTTTGCATTGTTGACATTAAATGTTTACAAATTGAATTTAATAGAAATCGTAGTGCCTGGCGGGTATGCAACAAATTCTCAAATTTTCTCACGCACATTTCATCGTCCAAATTCCAAACTAAATCAAAAAGTTTCTTTTCATTATAAGAACGGCTAACTCATAATCAATATACGTGACGCAACTGCTATGACTCAAACAATACTCTATACATAAATGTTTGTAGTTTTCCTTTAAAGGTAACATTTTGATTTTGTTGTATTTATTGCTGCATAACGCAATGCATGCATCTTACGACATTGGTAGCACAATTTCGAAATTGATTGCAAACAAGCCAACAGAGTAAATAAACTTTCAAACGCATACAAATAAACAAACACACACACACGCACACACACAATCATACATATTTGATTTGCATAATTCGTTTTGAAGAACAATTTACAGAAGGGTTTGAATACGTTGCGTGTGAGTGCAAAAAACACAAAGCACAGAAATCGATGAATTTTGGCATATTGGTTGGCACAGAAGTCAATGAATTTTAAATCTCTTAGACTATTTGGACGGCAAGCATCGTGCAAAATAGTATATTTAAACAATTTTTTAAATACAATAATATGAAATATTGTTAAATTTATATTTCTTTTGTTTTTTGATTTGACTTAAAAACGAGAATATAAAATAACTTCTCTCTTAAAGTGCAATGAAATAAAAAAAATTTTAAGCATTAGCTACATTGTGTTCACTTCAGGCTTTAATAATTAATCAAAATACTTTTTTTTTAGTTTTTAAAAAGATACATCGCGAGTTTTTATGCAACTTCAGCAGAGTCAATTTATGATAAATTGGATTTGTTTATAGTTTTAGTTTCCCTGTTGAAATGCTTCGAAACAAATAGCTTTTTCTTAAGTTTAGTTTTTGAACTTACTTGAAAAAAAAAATGAATAAAATGCATAACATTGAATTGTTTGTTGGTTTGTTTGTTGGAACACACACCAAGTTGCTGCTTTAGTTCTGTACCGATTTGATCTATGGACATTAATTTATTCCAATTTTGTACACGTTTTATAATTCTACTCAAATACATACATAAACAAATGAAGTAGAAACGTTTTTGCAATTTTATCCACTACCTAACTACTACATATTATATAGAATTCACTTGTAATTACATACATGCATACTAAATACTCCATTAATATATGGTAAAATCGACCATACATAACATATTACACAATTTACCTACTTAATCATCTCTAATTAATTAAAGTCGTTAATTTGCTTGCACCTACTTAGTATGCCGCAGCCACGCATATACGAGTAATACAGCTGCCCGAAGCGGCGCTGCAAAATTTCTCAATGATTTAATTAAGACGAACAATTTATTTGTTATCAGTAATAGTTGCAGTATCTGTGTAATCGTAATCAGTATCAACATCATGTCTACATTTGAAACTCTTTCCCGATTCCTCCCAAAAAGTATAGACTCTCACGTACACCATCCAGATACAAAGAAACAAAAGTTTTGTTTGCGAATAGCGAATATGCCTATTTATAAAATTTATGAAACACACATTTTATCTTACCATGCAAAACCACCTGATCTTGAAGTAGTTGTAGTTTC